TTTAGATATTATCTGTACTTCAATTTAGTTTTAGCAGTTCTATAGAGTCAAGTCCCATCCTACATTTATTTCAGTTTATTTTATGATTTGCTAAATTTTGTGTTAAGCACAATTTGTTTCTTTCATATCAAAGTGTATTTTGCTATTTTACTTTGATTTTGTTTTGAAATGTCATCATTTTTAATTTCATTTAGAATAAACTTAAATTGTCACCTTTATTTATTGTATGTTGAATGTACAGTGTTTGTTTTTCAACCTAATTGTGTTAATATGTGTGCATAACAAGCTTTCATTTCCTAATTTGGTATTATGTTTGATTGTCTGCTTATTTTATTTCTGTAGTATGCTCAGTTTTGCATTTGCTCTAGTTTAATTTCTAAATTTCAACTGAATTCATTTCATATTTTATTTTTCATAACTTTGCCTTTTATTTTCAGTATATATTTATAAAAAAGAAACATTGTGTATAGCCACAAAATATAGATAACATGGTCGATGGCATTGTAAAAACTTTGTTTATATAGAAAAACCTGTGGTGGGTACTCTAGTACGTATATATTAGAAGCATGCCAACCCATACATGACAGAATATCTGTATGTAACATCCTAAACCTCAATACTAACGATGCTGTTTGTGAGTATTATAGACAGGAACTTGGGTTACCACAAGCAGACAACATCTTATTGAATGTCAAGATCTTCTCTAAATGTCATAGTTTTCTTGATTAAAAGATTAAAGAATCTATTTTAATAAAGAAAAAGAAACCTAAAATATACAAATATAAAGGTTGGCTTATAGCGTAAGGATGTTGATTGTATTAAGATTTTAATGTTTTTTAATTTTGATGAAGTCTGTGCACTTTTACAATGGTTGAAATATATATTTTGACATTACAATATGTATATAATGATATAGTAGGACAGAAGACTACAGATATCTGTAAACACATAGATACATATAGGAAGTTGTATTTCATATACGTAATGTAACCTGCTCTAAATCCTATGATTTTAATAATTCACCTAATAATTCACGAGGACAGAAGACTACAGATATCTGTAAACACACAGATACATATAGGAAGTTGTATTTCATATATGTAATGTAACCTGCTCTAAATCCTATGATTTTAATAATTCACCTTTTGGTTTACACTTATTGTTTATTTAATATTGTTAGTTTTTCAACAATTTTCATTCAAGAATGTTTGTTATTATTTCTAATATGTTCTGAACTTTTTTCACGTGTATCGATGTTCAAATAACTGATCACAGTGATCCAGTTTAGTTTCAACTTGTTTAAAAAACTTATAGATTATCAATAGCACCTGACAAAGCTGTAATAGCAAAATATTGAGCCAGTAAAGATACGTTTTGGAGATATAGGTCATTTTATTTGCATTAATAAAAAAGTAGACTGTGGGATAAAATATTGAGTGGTTTTTAGTAGTAAAAAGAAATGTGGAATTATGGTTCTAATAAACCTACACAGCTGTTGTTAGTTGAAACTTATAAACTCCATGACTGAATATTTACACTTTAGGCTTGGACTCCAACAAGGCGTGTATCAAAAGATGACTGGATGGAGTGGTTGCGGAGATTAAGTATTGAACTGCTAAAAGAGTCCCCGTCACCTGCATTACGTTCATGTTGGGCTTTAGCTCAGACTTACAACCAGTTACCTAGGTATGCACTGAACGTTTCTAATGTTTTCAGAATGGAACATGATTTAACATGGTTAACTAAAGCTAATATAGATTTTAAGAAGTGATACCAGTGTTTCTATCCATTTTCTAACTATTTTTTGTATAGCAATGTACTGTAGCTGTTATACAGATAATACAAAATGTATTTAACCAAGCTACAATTTTGAAAATTGGAATAAGCTTGTAATATTTCATGTTAACAAACAAAGATCCCACTGGGTGATCAGATTTAATATTATGACAATGAAGATTTAGTTTAAGTAATTAAAACAGCAAGGTTTAAGAGCAGGTCATATTCAAGCATGGTTAACAACAAATACAAGTTCAAAATGTAATGAAATGTAATTTAATGAAAGTGCCAATAAGTTATTTACAAAAACAATATGTATTCTATATCCAAGCTTCAGCTGATTAAACTTGACAAAGTTAAGGGATGCCATGATGTATTTAGCGCAATGTTTTTTTCATGGTCGTTCATAGGGAGCATATAAATCATGTTGACATGGATTGAAAAATACTGTATTATAAAATATCCTTCATGCCACTTTTGTTTAAGTTTGTCAATCACACGTGTGGTTACAGTGTTTAAAGTGGTTTGGAAAAGGTGCTGCTATACAATAATTTGGAAGGTAGTATTGGATGAATTGGTGTTTGGCATGATGTAAGACCTGTATGTGCTGTAGTTGCAGATACTAAAGCCAAACATATTTTCATGCAAAACCAAATAGGTGTGGATAGGGTGTTTTCCAGTATTATCATTTCTTTTTACTTTTACACAACTTGTCCTTAAAAAAATTGTGTTTCTAGTTTTTAGCCTTGTTTCTATATATGATATAATTGCATATCCAATCATCTTAACCTAGCCATCTCCATGTTCTATGGTTGTACAGGTTAAAATCCATGACACTTTGTTACTCAATTAAATTGTTGGTATCAAAAGTTAACCTCTTCTGGAAGGGCTACATTATAGAACTTCCCAATACAAATTTCTTCTATAACATAATTATCAAAGTATGTAATGTCTGAGCTTCCAAAGAAAGAAATATCTCTAGAGTTGAACAGTATTGGTAAAGCAAAGGAAAGCATAATTCCACTGGAAGAAAGGCTACTCCATGGCTGGCCACCAGTCCACACCAGATTTAGTGAAGAAGGTTAATCAGCTTGTCACTGGAAGTGACCCAGTATTAGTCTATTATATTTAAAGCTGGATCTTTCTTTAGAACTGTAAATGAGGTAATTCATACAAATTAGGTATACAAAAGCAGTACAAGAACTGTGGTCACAAGCTTGTCTCAAAGAAAAGAAAAATTTGTGTGTCTTGGTTTTAGCACTGTTTCTTTATCTGTTTTTTATATTATAAAGTTACTTATTCGGTTACCTGCAAAAGTCCAGGTAGTTTAATTCATCTTGTATCTGGTATAACATTTCTGAAATGGTACAGAACATGTATCATAAGTTAAACATCTGGAGAGTTGATAAAATGTCCTGTTGAACTCTACATACTGTCAATCTAACATTCTAACACCTCTATAACGCAAGGAAATGCCACGTTTGTATGGATTAGATACCGTTAAGATATGGTTATGTCAAGACAAAGCATCCAGCCACACATTTAAGTCAACATTCAAATTCAGCTGTAAGATGCAAATACAAATGAGAATTCATCAAATGGAAATTAAAATGTTCACTTTCCAAAAGCACTTTAGTTATTGGATGTCTTTTCTTAGACACAAATTGGTGTTGAAAGGAGGGGTCTGTAATGACTTGTCACATCCATCCTTTTTTTTTTGCTAACGTAGACTAGGAACATCCCTCACTATTTCTAATTTATTTTTATGCTTACTTCATTTCATTTGAATCATAATCCAGTATACTTATAATTTTGTTTTATTCCCAATTTTCTTTTCCAGTATGCATCATTAATTCATTTTTCTCTTAATTTTTCCTTTTAGAAAAATTCCTTCATTCTTCCATTTTTCTAATAATTTTTTTTACTTTGTTTCTTCTGTCCTTGCACTAGTAATCATTGGTTCATCTGTCACATGTTAGATCAATTTAGAAACATCAGTTTACCGGAAACCTTTTTCTGTTCTTATGCCCCCACACCAGGAATCATGTCATACTAGGTCACAAAAAATGTCTGCATTTTATATTTATGTTAACAGAGCTTTTGAAGATATGTACTAACCAAAAGGATTTAATAAACAAATTGTTATTAATTAAATATATAGCAGTCGAAAGAGGTTTTAATCCGAATATTATAGATAGGGCAGTTAAGAAATTCACTAATGCTATAAAAGTTGATCAAATTAGTACTTTAAAACCTAGTTATGAAATAATTAGAAAGGAAGGCTTAATTTTACCATATGGTCCAGGCTTAACTACTATTTTATTTAAAGTGTTAAAAAACAACATATATTCTACCGTATATTTAAACCGATAAATAAGATGAATCAAATGTTAGGTACTACGAAAGACGAAATACCGTTAACTGAAAAAAACTGGAATATATAAAATAGAATGTGAATGTGGAAGTATTTACATTGGTCAGACAAAACGTAATTTAAAATACCATTTAAATGAGCATAAGGGATATGTAAAAAATAAAAAAACTGAAAATTCATCCATAGCAGAACATGTACAGGAAATACAACACACAATATTATGGGAAAAAAACTAATATTAGCTCAACCAAAAAGTATAATAGGTAATAATATTCATGAATCCTTAGAAAGAATAAAACATTAAAAAGATCATGTAGTATTAAATATAGATGAAGGTATGGCAAATATTTCTACAAGAATGTGGACTGATCTCTTTTGAATGGTTTAGCATGAATTTATGTAAAATAGTATACAGGTCACATGACCTACTAACAAGTTATAAATACTTTAACATTGTCTTGTAATTCACTCCTGAGGAAGACAATTTGACATGTCGAAACATATAGAGTCGTCTAACTTTTTGAGGCCTAG